CAGCCATCTAGCTGGGGAGCAACCAAGCCCACATGGAAGAAGCACACCAGCCTGTGTGATCACGAGGTGTCAATGGGAACAGTTATCAGGCATCAGAAGACCCAGAACAATCATGGAGATGTGAAGGGGTTGGGGAGTAGAAATCCAAAGCCCATCTGTAGACAATTGGACACCCCTCGTAGAAGGGTCACAGGAAGGGACAAGCCAGTCAGGGCGCAGGATAGCACCTACGAAACATACAACATTCCTCTAGTTCTTGAATGCTTCCTGCCCCTCCCCCACTATCATGATCCCAATTCTACCTTACAAATCCGGCTAGACCAGAGCATGTGCACTGGTAGAGATAAGAACTCACAACACGGGGAATCCAGGACAGATGAACCCCTCAGGAACAATAATGGGAGTAGCAATACCAGGAGGGTAAGGGGAAGGTAGGGGAGAAAGGGGGAACCGATCACAATGATCGGGTATAACCCCCTCCCCCAAGGGGAACAAACAACAGAAAAGTGGGTGAAGGGAGACATCGGTCAGTGTAAGACATGAAAATAATAATTTATAACTTATCAAGGGTTCGTGAGGGGAGGGAGGATGGGGGGAAAGGAGGGAAAAAATGAGGAGCTGATACCAAGAGCTCAAGTAGAAAGAAAATGTTTTGAAAAGGATGATGGCAACATATACAAATGTGCCTGACACAATGGACGTGTGGATTGTGATAAGAGCTGTAAGAGCCCCCAATAAAACAATTCAAAAAAAGGAATAATCAACATGTATGTTCGTGATGCACCTGGGCTTCTTGCTTCTCAGGACAGCGGCCCCTGGTGGTGGATACGGTTACTGTCCCATTTTCCCGTGAGGCCCAGAGGGGTTGAGTGCTTCGCCCAGGGCCACACAGCAATCAGAAGGTCCGGCTGAGGTTCTAGCCAGGCGTTCTGGCTGCTACACAGTTCCTTGCTCCAATCATCTCTCTGAGCACCATTCCATTTCCTCGCAGGGACTGTCCACCCACCAGAATGCTCAGTAAATGCCTGGGGCCCTGACTGAGTGGGTCAGGGGTGGAAGGTGAGTGTTGGGAGGCCGGGATACAGAACGCAGACGACTGGGGTGGATTTTCAACTGGGGTGGATTTTCGACTGGGGTGGATTTTCGGGGCCCATCAGATGGATTGACGCAGGGGCTGCCCTAAGGAGCTCAAACAGAACCATTGTGAGGCTGGTGCGGGCTTGGGAAGTGTCTCCTGGGGTCGGGCCTGGGGTCGCTCTGAGTCAGATCCAAACGGACAACACGACGGGCAGGGGACATAGGACCCGGCACACAGTCGCCCCTGATAAATCTTCGCTGGGGGAGTGAAGGAAGTTGGGGAGGACTTTGAAGGAGACCAGCTGATATCCAGGTCTAAGTGCTGGGGGAGAGGCAAGCGCAGCAAGGGGGCCCCTGTGAGAGCCCACCCAGGGGAGCCGGCCTGGGTGGGGGGCGGGTGTGAGACTGTAATGTACTCCCTCCTGAAAAGCAGCAGCCGTGCCAGGGCTCAGCCAGCAGGGCTGTGGGTTCTGTAACCTGCTGGCTGAGGTGACCAATGACGTGGATTTTTGGAGTCCAGAGGAACACGTCAGAGCCAGGGGACCTGCACGGCCATGGAGGTCAGAGATGGGGAGAGTGGGGCAGGTCCTTTAGCATGAGCTGTCGCCTAAACCTGGGGGCATCAGAGGGAAGGGTCCAGGGATGATCTATTCCCAAACTGATGACCCTTCTTCCAGGTATCTGCTAGAAAACTGGCATGATCGAGCTGTAAAAGAATAGTGGCTGTCCCTTGCATGGTAGCCCCTGAAATACAGAGCCTGTGAGGAGTTTGCACACAGAGGAAGAGGAAGCATCAGCGACCGAGGAGCAGGCTGCCCGTTGCCGTAGAGACCACGGCGCATCCAGTCTGGTACCAGCTGGCCCCCAGAAGGCCTTGCTGACCTGAGCGCAGGGTGGCATGCCCTTCCTGGCTGGCTGGGTCCTCCCTCCCTGTCGGACACTATGCATTTGAAACAAGGCTTTGATCCCGTTGGAAGGGGCTGAGGGCCGGCTGGGACAGAGATCGATGCCAGCCAGACGGAGAAGCCGAAATCACGGATGTGGTGGAAACCTGGGAAATTGTTCGTTACGGATTAGCAGGGAAGCACCCGTAATCCCTTGGGTGTTGGGTAACTAGACACTGTCTCAAGGACCCCTGGTGGTATCATGGATTCAGTGGCAGGCTACTGACCGAGAATTCAGTGGTTTGAACCCACCAATGCTCAGGAGATAGGCCGCTTCCTTAACGGTGTACCACCCTGGAGACCCCATGGGGGGCAGTTCTAGTCCTCCTGCAGGACTCAGAAGCGTTGAAATCCACTGGATAGCAGTGAGTTGGGGTGTGCTGGGGGTTGGACACTGCCCGAGATCACTGGTAGGAGCCCTGGTGGCATAGTGGTTACACTGCTAACTGCACGATCCGCAGTTCAAAGCCACCAGCTGCTCCTGAAGGAGAAGAGGAGGCTTTCTACTCCCGTCAAGAGCTATAGTCTCAGGATTCACGGGGGCAGTACTCTATAGGTCCTATAGGGTCACTATAGGGTCACTATGCGTTGGCACCGACTTGATGGCGATGGCAGTGAGTTTTATTTCGTTTGGGGGAGTTTTCCAGACCACGGGGCAGATGCCAATTTCCAGAGAACCCATGATGGTGACAGCAGTGCGATGCCATTAGCCGCGCCTCGGGAGAAAGACGAGGCTTCCTACCATCTCCCAAACCCACGGGGCAGGTTTACCCGGCCCGAGACGGGAGTGGCATCGCCGATTCCCAAACCGGGCACGAGGCGGCACTGCTGCGCGCTCAGCCTCCGGGCGACGCCTGGGTGGGGGCCACACTGGGCACCCAGCCCCACGCGCAGGGTGGGTGCCCCGGGCCACAGCCCCTCGGCAGGCACGGGCTGGCTCGTGCCTGTCCAGAAATGGGCATCACTTCCTCCGCGGCCCCAGGAAGCTGGGCTCTGCCCGCCCCTTCCCGCCCGAGGGGCCGGCCCGGAGCGCCCGCCTGCCCAGCTCCACCCTGCCTGCTCGGCCTCCCGGAGGCTTCCGGCTGGAGGGGAGGGGAGGGGGGCCGCAATTTCGATCCCCACCCACCCCCATCCTCCTCCTCCCTACTTCAAGGTCTGCCCGCCCTTCAGACCACCGTGCCCCCCTGCCCACCCGCCCCTAGCTGTCCCCTCGCCCCTGCGCCCCGGGCGCTGCCCTGCCCCCACCGCCGCCAGGAAGGACGCGCCCGCGGCCCGTGCCAGGCCTCTGAGTGTGCGCCCCTCCCAGCCGGGCCAGGAATGCGGCTGGACCGCGGGGGCGGCCCAGACACCGGCCAGCGCACCACCGGCCCGCAGGCAGGCAGGCAGGTGGCCCCGGCTTGCCTGGGCCTGGCTGGGCTTCTTCCCAAAGGGCAGCGCCACTGCTCGCCCGGCCACTGTCCAGCCGCTGAGCTTGGTGGCACTTTCCCAGAAATCGTGCCCCAGCCGCCCACCCTGTCCCCTTCCCACAGGGAGAAAGCTATGCCACGCTGAGTGGACCTGAGTTTTCAGAGCCGGACTGTCTCCCTGGCTGAGCAGCGTTGTTGTCAGTGGGAGGTTCTACCCAGCCTCTTTTGGGCCCTTCCAAGGCTCCCTTCAGCGGTCCAAAGACCCACAGGTAAACTCTGGGCTCAGACTGGAGTTCATTTTTTAAAGTGGCCTGGTCAACCCAGTCCCCATTGCACACTCAGAGGCACAGCCAGGACACCTGGCACAGAATTCTGGCTGTGGGGTGGCTTCTGGGGGGCGATCAAGTAGTAAAGAGGCAGCTAACCACAAGGTGAGCCATTCGAAACCACCAGCTGATCTGATAAGAGAAAACAGGCCTTCTACTCTCCTAAAGAGAGAGTTACCATCTCAGAAACGCACAGGGTCGCTGTTTGTCAGGACAGGCTCAACGTTGGTGAGTTGGGCTTTCTTGTTTTGTTTTGTTTGAGAGGAGTAAAATGTCTGGTTTCAAACCTACCTCCTCACATGAAGACCTCCTGGGTCCCAAGTCAGTAAATTGGATAATGTCCATCTTACGGGATTATTAGGATGCAGAGCTCCGAATTGTACCAGGTATGCAGTACATGCTCAGTAAATGTTAGCCCAATGATCTCACCCTTACACTAGCTTAGAAACAGATTTAAGAACACAAGCAGCACAGCCTTATATAATCGATTTCTCAGGGATGCTTTTAATTTCAAAACTGGATTCAGGTCTTTTCCCACATCGAGGGAGAATACCAGGCAGTTCAGTCCGGCCCTGGGCCTGGCCCATGGGCATGCCGGGGTCCCAGACCCTGTACACAGCCTGGGACCAATCCCAGACTCCCCCGCCCACCTGTAACAAGAGCAGTGCTGTGAAGTTGCCCAGTCCTGGGTTCTGTGTGACCAGATGGGCCCACACCCCTCTCTCTGGACCAGATGCCAACTCTGCTCTTCCGTGGAGAGCTGGCCCGGCCATTAGCTCAGGTCCACTGGCAGTCCACACTTGCCAGTCCTGTGGGTCAGCGCCCCGGGCCTGGTGGCCGTTCTAGTGCCTGCGTGCCCACTAGCACGTCCATGAGGTAGTCCAGCTCGGCCTCGTCCAGCTCTGGGGTGGTCTCCTCCTTGCCTGGCCCCTCCACAGGGCCGGGCTTGAGGCTCTCGGAGGCAGGGGCCCAGAGTTCACTGTCATACATGGAGGTGTCAATGTCCTCAAAGAGGCCCTCCAGGCTGTCGTCCAGCAGACAGCCAGTGGCGGGGCCCAACAGATCCAGGGCACCCAGGCTGGGGGGTGCCCCCGCAGTGGGGCGGCCCAGGGGCCCCTCGTCTGCCAGGGGCTGGGGGACCTGGCTCAGGCCCTCAATGTGGCTCAGGTCCTCCAGGAGGCTGGCCATGGAGGCAGAGAGGGCGGCATCCGAGCTGGCCAGCAGGCTGTCAGCCACTCCGGGGGCAGGGGGTGGACTGGGAACGGGCGGCAGGGTGGCGGCGGGTGCCATGGAAGCCTGGATTCGCCGCAGTGTGTTGACGACCAGTACCAGGTGCCGCAGGTCTGGCTCACTCTGCCGCAGGCTGTGATGGAGCTTGAGCACTGAGAGGTCAAAGAGGGAGCTGGAGGCGGCGGTGGCCGCCGGGGCCTGTGCTACGGCTGGGTGACCAGGATCCAGCCACCAGGTGTCCACTGCCAGCCCTTCCTCCTCCTCCTCCCGCTTGCGCTTCAGGCCCTTGCTCAGCATCATCTGTGGGCAGGAAGGAGTCATTCCATTAAGGGAAGCACACGTGTTCAAATCCCGGCTCTGCACGCTGCTGTGTGTGTGTGGCCCAGGGCGAGGCACTTACCCTCTCTGAAATAGGTGTCCTTCTAAAAAGCCAAACACCAGACCCACCGCCAAGGCGTTGATTCCAACCCATAAAAGCTCAAGAACTCACTGCCATCAAGTCGACTCCCACTCATAACAATGAATGACCCCGGGGGGCAGGGCAGATCTGACCTTTGAGTTTCTGAGATGTATCTAGAAAGTCTTCTCTTTCTCCTTTGGAGAAAGCTGGTGGGTTTGACCAGCTCGCCTTGTGGTGAACACCTTCAATGCATAACCCAGTCCACGTCAGAGCTCCATCTATCTATCTATCTATCATTCCGAAGACATGGCCAATGCAGAGCTCGGTCTAGTATTTACTGAAGAACATCCACTATGAGTCAGACAATAAATACGGGGAACTGATAGCTGGTACTGGGAAGGCACTTTAAGTTTGAGGGTGAGGGGATGGCCAGGAGATTTCTCTGACCATGGCCCTGGTGTAAGCCATGGCTCTCTGGGAAGCAGGGACAGCAGCAAACGTGTAGAAAGGCCTGGAAGCTGACTAGACTAGGCTTAGATTTAGAGAGACCGGGTAGAAAGAGGCCAGGTCCAGTGGGCCTTAGAGTTTGGAGTTCATTGTGGTGAGAAGTCAGTGATGGATTTTTTTTTTTTTGGGTGGGGAGGGTGCTCTTGTGAATGGATTCCATTTTCATTACAGCTGCAAGAAATCGTGTTATGTGCTGTCCCCAAGAGCCACAGGAGGCTGCTGTCCTCCTCGGGACAAAGGGTGATTGATAACAAGTTGGTGGCGGTCATGGAAGGAGGATGGCCAGCTCTGGATGTATTTGAGATACCGAATAGCCAAGAGTTGCTGGAAAAACCTGACTGGAACAGGGGAGTTTGTGGACCCAGGCACTGCCCGACCAGGTGGGAAGCAGGTCCCTGGAATTATGGAAGCATTAGGGAGCTCTCCGAAAGGTGGGCAGTTTGAGCCCACGGACCTCTTGGCGGGGTAAGATGAGGCCGACTTCTTCCATAAAGATTTACAACTTGGAAGAAGCAGAAAAAAATGATGTACAACTTGGAAACCTTATGGGGCTGTTCTACTCGGTCCTAAAAGGTCGCTCTGAGTCGGAATCGATTGAACGGCAGTGAGTCAGTTCCCGAACTGCTTCCACATCCACCCCTGGAGTCTCGGCTGAGAAACACCTGGAAAGTGACCGCTGCATCCCATCACCCTGTCCCAGGCCGGGTCCTCCGTCCCCTTCCTCTGGAGCCTGGAGTCCGGAACCGCAGGAATTTAGGCCCCGCCCCAGACTCCGCCCCCGGAGCGCCTGCGCCCCCTGGCGGCGCCCCGGCCGGCCTTCCCCGGGGGATTTCGGCCCCTCAGGCTCCGGGACCCTGGACACCGCCCGGCGTCCCGGCTCTCACTCGGCCGGCCGCCCGGCCCGTGCCGGCGGGAGCCGGGCAGCCACTTCTCCCTCCCGGCCTCCCGCTTGCTTCCGGAAGGCACTGGAGGCAGAGCCTCCTGAAGCGGCGGCGGCGGCGGGGGCGGGTGAGTCACGCAGCCGGAGCCAGGAGCCGGCGCCTCCGCCCCCTTTCCGGGCTGCGGCGTGATTCACCCGGCCGGGCCGGGCGGGCGGCAGTACCAGCCCGTGGGTCTAGATCCCGGGCAGCCCCGGTGCGCACCTGCCGGACCCGGGCTTCGGGCCTCCCCCACCACCCCAAGACCCGGCAGCCGGGACCCCTTTCTCAGTCAAGACCCTCTCCCTCATTTACATACCCAGTTCGCTAGCTGCCAATCAGAACGATGGTTGAGCGACACGCAGCCAATCGAGAAGCGGCAGCGGCACCATCGCGGGCTCGCTCCCCTCCGGCACCCGGCGCCCCAGCGGTGAGACGCCGTTCTGACTCCGGCCCACAACTCCAGACTTAAGACTTCCCTTAGCTCCCGCCTACTCGCGGCGTGGCCCCACCCCCTGCCTCCCCGATTGGCCCTTGACGGCGGGGGGCGGGGCCTGGGAGGCACGGGCCGGCGGGGAAGGGAGGTTCGCTTCAGCGCGCATGCCCGAGCGGCGGCGGGCGGAAAGGCGGGGTGGCTGCGTGCCCCGGGGGACAGTAGCGGGGAGGGGCTCCTTCGTTTGCAAGCGCAGGTCTCTCCGACACCTTCACCTTTCCGAATCCGAGTGGGGTCTGCGCTCGCAGCCTGGGTTCAAATCCTGCCTCCCGAGTCACTCGGTGGGTGGCTTTGGCAGAATGCTCGACCTCTGAGCCGCGCACGGTTGCTAAGAGGGACTCGTCTCGCCTGCCTCCTGAGCGTTGTGAATGCTCAACCGAGGCTTCGTTTGCAAACGCACTGGCGCCCTGCGCTCCAATCGGCGAGTACCTGTGTGGCCTTGGGCAACCATTTTAATTCCCCAGCGTCTCGGTTTCTTCATCTGTGAAATGGGAGGAAAGAACAGCGTCGGGCTCGTTAGAGGGTTTTGCGGATCGAACAATTCGTGGCAAATGCCCCGAGTGGCATGCAGCGTGTCCTCTGAGTATGTTTACTTTCCCTGTCGGGCAGGGCGGAACTGCCCCTGTGCATTTCCGAGAGTGCCACTTGGCTGGAGTAGAAAGCCCTCTTCTCCTCCCGCCGAGCGGCTGGTGGTTTCGAACTGCTGCCCTTGCAAACCTTGCAAATCGCAGCGCAAACGGGTTACCGCCATGACGCCACCAGGGCGGGCGGTGGGCTGTTAACCGAAAAGCCCAGCGGGATTCAAACCTATCAGCTTCTCTGGGGGAGAAAGAGGAGGGAGTTGGCTTCCAGAAACTTTGTGGGGCTGTTCTCCTCCGGGCAACACGGTTGCTGTTGCGTTTTTCGTTTTGGGTTTTCAACTTTGCATTGTGAACCGGGTGAAAGTTTTGCAGACCACAACTCACAGCGTGTTTCTTCTCATGCATTGCACCCCTGCCCCCACCCAGGATGTGCCCTCCCAGACTGCTTCCTCCCTGTTTCCTGTTCAATTCTTCCTCCTTTCCTCTCCTCCGTCTTGTACTCTGTCCTTTGCCCTTAGGTCAACGCTGCCCTTTTCACCTTAAATGGCTGATTATTCCAACACAGGTGATTTCCTGCAGTCTCTATGCAAATCAGGAAGCCTGGTCTCTTTTATGACTTTGAATGTTCTACAGTTTTTCTCCAACTCTTCCCCAGAGCTTCTACTGGGCGCCTTCTCAGAGCCGGGCACCATCTACTTCTTCTGGTTTCAGGATCGTGGGAACTGATGTTTCCGGGGGTCTGTTAACTCATTAGACGAATTGTTTCCATATGTTTTTTGATTTTCATCGTTGTTCTTTCCTACGGACAGGGAGACATCAATAGGCGCACCCTTTAGGTGGCTGCTCCAGAACTTTTAAGACTCTAGCCACACTCACCAAAGTAGGATGTAGAAGAGTGCCTTTTAAAAATATATATAATGATTTTTTGTGTGTCAAAGACTCCAAGTGCATTTCAGTTTTACTTTTCCTCCTTTTAAAAATTTCAGCCACCCACATATGTACAAATGTGCTTGACACAATGGATGGATGTATGGATTGTGATAAGAGCTGTAAGAGTCCCCAATAAAATGATTTATAATTTTTTTTTTTTTAAATTTTAGCCACCCAGACTAATCTTTAGGTTTGAGGGGTAAGGAATCTGGAAGGATTTTTGTTTTGTTTTGTTTTAAGAGGGATACACTATATATTTACATAGTCCATCTCAAGAAGTGAAATCAACAGGCATATCCTATTAAACCCCCCATGTAGGTGACTTTCTTTCTACCCCTCCCCGCTTTCCCGCCTCCCCAATATCCTAGATCCCTCCTGTCTCCCTGTTCCCGCCCCCATCCCTGGCCTCGTCACAGCCATCCAAGTCTTGTCTTTTGGTATACAGCCTACGTTTCTTTTTATATGTCTTTCATAATATGGTGATGGTAGAGCGTTATTTTTATGAACTGTTTTTCCAGTTGACCTTGGGACCCCCAGAGTCTATGGTCCTGAGACCCCAGGCAGAGCGACTCATTTCGTCCAGGTGTTTCATTATGCCTAAGATGTGTTCATGACGTGCCTGCTGTTTGCTCCCCTCACATTCATGGGTGTATGTACAGCAGAGGGAAGACACACATACACATATGCTCGGCCACACCTAGACATAGTGACGGGTAGGCTCCTGTTTCTTCTCCCACGCCCATCCAACCTGCTGGTCTATTCCAGCGTCAGCTGGATGGATCCCCACTGCTGCAGGAGTGTGTCGGTAATACCATTTCCCCGAAAGTGAGACATCTTCCGAAAATAAGACCTACTTACAGCTTTGCCCTTCGCTGAAATATAAGGCATCCCCCTGAAAAGCCCCCCCCCCAAGCTACCATAACTCTGGACTCTGGACCACAGCAGCGGACGCCGCCGTGCAGCTCATTGGTGGCCGCAGTGCAGCCGGAGCAGACAGGAAGTGCGAGGTCTCTTTTAATAAAACAATAAACAATAAATGTGTACCGTATTCTTCTCCATGGAAAAATAAGACATCCCCTGAAAATAAGACCTAGCGCATCTTTGGGAGCAAAAATTAATATAAAACGCTGTCTTATTTTCGGGGAAACAGGTAGTATTTGCCTTTGTTGCCTTTGACTCTCACCCTCCTCCCAGTGTCTCTCCCTGCCTCCCCCACTTTTGCCCTATACCCCTCATACTTATACTGCTTTCTCCTTCACCCAAGTTAACACTTGGCCAGCCTCTTGCCCATGACTTCCCTCCCTCCCTCCTACCTCACGACCACCTCTGATAACCATCAGGAAATGGGTCTTTTCGTTTGACGACCTTTTCTTGACTTTTGACGATAGTGGTCTCATACAATACGGGCACAGAGAACCTCATCTTCTCCCCACAGAGCGCCTGGTGGGTTCGAACTGCCGACCTCATGGTTAGCAGCTCAGTGCCTATGTTGCCCACCAGGACTCCAATTTGCTAGACGTTTCCCGATCATCTAAGATATGGATAGCACATGTCAATAGCCTACTTGTACTATATTTGTTCACCTATCGGTTTACTGTGATGGAATTGGATGGAGTCTGTGTGGTGTGGTACAGGCGGGGCAGGTCCATGGTGGGGTGGGTAACACACTGGGTAACCACACTGGGTAACACCAACCCAAGGGATGCCACTGCCTTCATCCCATGCTGAAACTCGGCGTCCCTGCTAATGGGACACACTGAAGCTGGGTACCACCTGAGTCGATGCGCCAGGGAGCCCGTCGCTTCCTCTGTGAAGCCTCCTTGCTGCATTGAATAGTCTCAGCCTCTAGCTCCCACGTCCAGCATACAGAAATACAGCTCACTGCCATCAGTCGATTCTGACCCAGAGAGAGGAGCAAATGGAGCACAAGCCCTATCGAACCGAGCTAGACTCTGGGGTGGTCTACAGAACAAGGGGGCTGCTGTTCTGCCAATCATTTGAAGCCAAGAAGACCCAACGAGGCAGTGGTGGGATTGTTCTAGGATGAAGGGAAGATGGCATTTACAGTGAACCCTCGCCACTTCGCGCCTCGACTTCCGCGGCTTCACTCTACCGCGGTTTTTGCGTCACAGCGCATGCTCTGTCATGACTGCCACTGATTGGCTCATACTGTACACGCTTCTGTCTGCATCACTACGTATCGGAGCTACGTATCAGATGCATTTTTGCTTTTGTACAGTGTACTGTAATTGTTTGCGAGTTTTAGGAAATTGTATCTAAGCCCTATGATGGCTCCTAAATGAGCTGCTTCTTCTAAGCCTTCTGACAATAAAAATAAGCGCCAGAGGAAGATGCTCACCATCCAGGAAAAGGTAAAACTTTTGGATATGATCAAAGATGGCAAGAAAATCGTGGAGGTTGCACGCCATTGATTACAGTATTTGTAAGAACTATGTATAATAATACTGTATGTGAAATATGTAATACTGTAAACTAGATGCCATAAATAATATAATAAATAATAAATGATCATTGTAACGTCCAAAATGTTTTAACTGTATTTTCCCTTTTTCGTTTAATAAATTGGGCAATACGAGTGTAATGGTGACTAAAGGGTGTTTTTTCATGTCCTCTATGCTCTAACTACGAAAATATTTGATTTACAAATAAGGAATCCTACTTCGCCGAATTTCATTTATCACGGTAGGGTCTAGAACCGATTAACCGCGATAAACGAGGGTTCACTGTACTTACTTTCTTTCTTTTTTAAAGATCATTTCCTTGGGGGCTCTTGCATCTTTTATCACAATCCATACATCCATTGCCTCCAGCACATTTGTACATAGGTTGCCATCGTCATTTTCTAAATAGGTTCTTTCTACTTGAGCCCTTGGCACGGGCTCCTCTTTTACCCGCCCCCCATATGTACTTTCCTCTCTCCCTCCCTCCCTCCCTCCCCTCTCCCCTTTCATCCTTGCTTTTGTTCCCTTCCTTCCTCCCGTCTTTGAGAATATAAACAGCAAAACGTACACCAATCCAACAGTGTCTACACGGGCGATCCAGTGACAGTGCCCAGAGTATCTCTGTGGTGCCACCTTTCCCACCTTCCTGTTCTTTTCTTTTTTCAACAGTTTTTTAGCATCATCTTATTGGGGGCTCGCACAGCTCTTATCACAGTCCATCCATCCACTGTGTCCAGCACACTTGTACACCTGCTGCCGTCATTCGTTCTCAGAACACCTTCCCTCTACTTGAGCCCTTGGTCTCAGCGCCTCCTTTTTCCCCCCTCCCTCCCTCCCTCCTGAACCCTTGATAAGTTGTAAATTATTACTGCTTTTTCATGCCTTAATGACCGATGTCTCCCTTCACCCCCTTTTCTCAAAAGGTTTATTGGTGTCTAATTCACATGTCGCATAATTCAATAGTTCAATCGCACCAAAGAATTGTACAATCATGACCACTATCAGTTTTCAAACATTTTCTTCATTCTTCTCTCTCTCTCTCTCTCTCTCTCTCGCTTTTATTTTTCATTTTCTCCATTCTTGTACTCATCATTAACTCCTCATCTCCCCCGACCTTCCCTGCGTCCCCCCGGGGAACCCAGGAATCATCCAGTTACTGTCTCAATAGAGGTGCTTCTCCTGAATTTCTTGCTTTCCTTTCCCATCATTTTATTGAGCTATCGTTCACATATCACATACTTTCTTAGTCCACTTGTATACCCACCCACTTTTCTGAGTTGTCCCCCCCCCACCTGTAACATAGACTCCCTGCGCCCTAACATTTCTAGCTACTCGTTGGAGATACCCCCATATCGTGGACTGCGTTCCTACAGACCCCAGGTGAGTTACCTTTGTCCGACTCACAGCAACCCTGTGTACAACACGAGGACGTACCACTCCGTCCCGGGCCACCGTCACAGTCAATGTCAGGCTTGACCCCCTTGTTGCAGCCACTGGGTCAGTCCATGAAGTCGAGGCCGTCCTCTGTTTCCTGCCCCCCGGTTTACCAAGGTGACGTCTTTTCCAGGGACTCGTCTCTCCTGATAACGCTCGAAGTCTCTCCATCCTGGCCTGGCAAAAGCATTCTGGCTGTACTTCTTCCAAGACAGAGCTATTTGTCCGTGGTACCTTCCGTCGTTTTTCACCAACACCCTAGTTCAAAGGCATCGATTTCCCTTCTCTCTCTCCTATTCAACGTCCAACTTCCCCATGCAGATGAGGCGAGTGAAAATGCTGTGGCTTGGGTCAGGCACACCCTAGTCCTCAGCTAGCATCTTTGCCTTCCAACACTTTAAAGAGGTCTTGTGCCGCAGGTTGACCTAATGCAATGTGCTGCTTGATCTCTTGACTGCTGCGTTCAATGACATTGATTGTGGATCCAAGCAAGACCCAATCCTTGACAGCTTCAACCTTTTCTCCCTTTATCAGGATGTTATCCACTTGTCCAGTTATGAGGATTTGGGTTTTCTCTACACTGAGTTGTAATCCATACTGAAGGGTGCCGTCTTTGATCTTCACCAGCAAGTCCTTCAGGCCTTCCTCACTTTCAACATGCAAGCTTGTATCATCGCACATCCCAGGTTGTTAATAAGCCTTCCCCCAACCCTGATGTACCTTCTTCTTCAGATAAGCCAGCTTCTCTAATTATTTGCTCAGCAGACAGATTGAATAAGTATGGTGAGAGGACACAACCCTGACTCACACCTTCCCTGATTTTAAACTGTGCATTAAATCTTTACCACAATCAAATTTTTTTTCTTGGTTTTTCAGTGGTGGTGGTGGTGGTGGTGGTGGTGGTGGTGGGGTAGTGGTGACCACCATCAATTTTAGAACATTTTCTTTCCCCTCATACTCATTGTTATCCATGTAATTTTTTTTTTCAATTGTGGCAAAAAATATACACAATAAACCATTCTCCAGTTCAACAACTTCTGCATGTATAATTCAGTGCCGTTGATGATACTCTTCGTTTTGTACAATCACTATTGATATCCCTCTCCAAGTTGTTCCACCAACATTAAAATTAATTCATGCCCCCCCTCCCCTTCCCCACCTTCATCTCTGGTAACCATAGGTCAAGTTTGATTTCTTTCTTTCTTCTTTTTAGTAGTTTCATTGATATCAAAGATGGAATATCCAAAATAATAATAATTTATAACCTATCAAGGGTTCACGTGGGAATTTCCAAAATAATAATTTATAACCTATCAAGGGTTCACGCGGGAGGGGGGATCAGGGATTGAGGGGGGAAATGAGGAGCTGATACCAAGGGCTCAAGTAGAAAGAAAATGTTTTGAGAATGATGATGGCAGCAAATGTGCAAATGTGCTTGACACGATGGATGTGTGGATTGTGATAAGAGTTGTACGAACCCCCAACAAAATGATTTTAAAAAGGAAAAAGAAAGATGGAATATTTCATACTTGCACCAGGCCCGTGCTAACCTTCTATGTATCATTTCAATTTTAGTGTATGTGCTGCCAAAGCAAGTACTGAAATTCTCATTTTCCACAAGATTACTCATAGTTTGTTATGATGCCCACAGTTGAATTCTTTGGCATAGACAATAAGACACAGGTAAACATCTTTCAGGTATTCTCTGCTTTCAGCCAGGATCTAGCTGATGTCACCAATGACATCCCTGGTTCCTTTTCGAAATTGGCCTGAACCTCTGGCAGCTCCCTGTCAATGTCCTGCTGCAATCATTATTGGATGATCTTCAGCTAACGTCTGCGTGCATGTGATATCAATGATACTGTTCTATGATCTTCACACTCTGTGGGGTCACCTTTCTTTGGAATGGGTACAAATATGGATCTCTTCCCATCAGTTGGCCAAGTAGCTGGCTTCCGAATTTCTTGGCATAAATGAGTGAAGAGCTCCGGGGCTTCAGCGTTTGTTGAAACATTTAAATTAGTATTCCATCAATTCCTGGAGTCTTGCTTTCTGCTCTCGTAAGGACTTACCGTCTTGGAAACACACAAGGGCAATTCTACGCTTGTCCAGTAGGGTCGCCATGAGTAGAATTGACTCGATGGCAGTGAGTTTGGTTTCGCTGAGCTTTGTTTGGGGCTAATGTTTTCAGAACTTTAACCCTATAGGTCACTCTTGACTGGAGTGGAAAGCCTCACCTTTCTCCCTCAGAGCAGCTGGTGGTTTCCGCACTGCTGACCTGCTATTAGCAGCCTGTGGGAGTTATATAATCGTTTGTCAATTTGAGGATTCGGAGTGTAGGGGTGGAATCTAGCCTGTCAATCAGATCATAGCCAATGAGGCCTCTGTGTGGGCATGGCCTTCTCCTGAGGATTCTGGGAAATCCGGTATTTCTTCCTTGGAGGTAGGAAATACTTCTCTCCTCTCTGTCTCTCTCTCTCTCTGAGGTAGGAGACACTTCTTCTCTCTCTCTCTCTCTCTCTCTCTCTCTCTCTCTCTCTCTCT